AAAAAAAAAAAAAAAAAAAAAAAAAAAGGTTATCATGGGGACAACCACGTGACAATATTCGTTGGACTGTGAGGGAACGAAATAAACGAAAGGATAAAAATAAATAAATAAATACATAAAGAGATTGACAATATTGCATGGACGTATGGATGAATTGTCACACCGACGTCTTCCATGAATTGAACTAGTTTTCTTCGTTTCGCCTTCCCAAAAAAAGAATAGTGGAAAATATATGTGTGTGCATTGTGCACAGAATACAACAAATGTTCCTGAAAATTATGCAATTCTCGTGGGGCGACATGAAGAGACAACAAACATGTGAACATATATAGTCGAAGAAAACAACATAAACCAAAAAAATCAGAAAAATAGAATAAAAAAACGCTAAACGGATAAACCGCCATCTTCGACGATTTTTCATTGTTGTTTCGCACCACCATCTTCGGGGGAAGGTGCCTCTGTTGTTTGTTATTGGGCCTACTACTGTGTGGTGCTTTGTTTTCGCAAGGCGTTGGAACAAAGTTTGTGATCCGCGAAACTATGCCTATGCGTGTGCATGTGCATTGGGGGTTTCCGCATCGTGCTGTGTGGCCTGAACATGGAACGCCAACACTCTCCTGCGGGTGCGCCGACGTCACCGAGTTCCCCGTTGCTTCCAACTCCTGCGGCGTTCGCGTCGCCGTTCGCCACACGCACCTCCATGGCAGGCTCTCCATTGTACCATGACATTTCGTGCAGTCGAGGGCGAGGGCTTTTGGATCCGCGCAGACGTAGTCGAAGCGATGCTATACTGGTGAGACCAGCGACCAGGCCGCGGTTGGACGACAGGATGGTGGTCGTCTCATTTCCTCCTGTAGCGATTTCGACAACCGTCACACATACTCCTTTCCCGAGTTACCTGCGCACTCTCATTACCGCAATTCCTGCTCTCCCCGCGTTCTCTGGGGATCTGACGAAGTCTCCTTTTGTGCAATCCTCTGTGCTTTCAGTGCGCCCTCCGCTTTCGTCACCTCTTGGGTTGCTCGCTGCGGTATTGCAGACACCGATTTCTGCTAGTGATTCCATCGATGGGGTTTCTCGCGGTCGTCCAGACCCCTCGAATGCCACTCTCCATGCCGCATTGGATGTACCTCCGTCTACAGTTCCTCAGCCACCATTGTTCCAGTACTCGCCCCCTGACAACGCCGGTGGAGTTCCCAGTGCGGGTGGCCTTGCGTCAACGGGGGGTTATCGAGCAGTAGAGGTGCAACCTTTCGACGACACATTGCGGCCAGCGTCCTGCACTCCGGTCTCCACGGATCATGCACCTGATGGGGTTTCGCCGTATAATGATAGCGAAGCAAGGATGTAATTCTCGCCTGCATCACCCAGGGTCAGGTTTAGTACACCTCGGTGCGATGTAGACTCGATCAGCAACTGCGGTTGAGTTCGATCACAAGGGCGATGGGGAAGAAGTTGTCGTCCCTTGCTCATAGCTCGAGAGACAAGAGAAAAAAACATTGTTCTTATGAGAACGTGTTCAATCAGCTCCTTGATTGGAATGCTCGCCACGTTGATGAGCTCATGTCGACGTACGGCCCGAGCGAGCAGTCGTCTGCCCATGGAGGTTTTTGTGGGGGGGGTTCAGCGTCAACTGGCACTCAGCGATCGCGAGGTGGTAGACCTCGGGGTAATGCTTTGAGGTGGTGCAACGGCAAAGACGGAATCCGGATATTGGTCCGATGTTTGAAAGGTTGACTGTGAGGGACCACATGGCCATGTGGGATGCACTTGCGAGACCTGATGTCGTGTTTCTTGAACCGGTGAAACTTCTGCAAATTCTCTGCATGTTCGAGAAAACGTGTCCTCAACATGGGAAAGAGGTGGAGGTGACGATAAAGAAGATACATTATCCTTGTCACATTTGCAAGTTGCAATTCGAGTGTGGGAAAGGGTGCACATGGCACTGGAATTCCACGAAGGTTGTCAAAGGTGGTGTGAGAGATTCGAGGGTGGAGACTCAATTGTTCGAGTCCAGTGTGGCTGCGGGGATGGCGCACACTCAACTGAACAACCTCTTGATGGGCCTCGGAATGAAGAAGGTTAGGAAAGAAACATTTTTTTTCCGTGATGAAGGCAAAGGTTCGCGACAGTGGCTGCAGCACGTAGAACGAGTTATGCAAAGGAGCTTCGATAGGGTCATCGCACGTTTGCGCAAATCTAACGATTCGATTGTCATTTTGGTCGACGGGTGTTACGGCTCGTCTCGTGACGCGCAACATTGTACGGTGTCGGCGCTGGACTTGAAGTCTGGGATGATCGTGGGTACGGAGACGATGCTGAGGGAGGGCGAGTCATCGTGGCGGCTGGAAACACAGTGTATGGAGAAGCTTCTTCATCGATTGAAGGACGAAAAAAACCTGATAATCGTCGAGGTTGTACATGATGATTGTTGTCTGGTTGACGTCATCCTACGACGAATGAACATTGACTCGCAGAAGTGTATGTGGCACAAAGCCAAGACTTTGGTGAAACGCTTGCGAGAGGCTGTGTGTGCCACGAAGACTGTCAAGCCATCTGTGGTGGGCGCTTGCAAACACGTGCGAGAGGTGAAGTGTTTCACCAAGAAGGAACTCGAAGTTTGGCTCGATACGAAGGGAGTGCACGTGCCTGGAACGGCTACGAAAAAGAAGGACGAGCTCGTTGAAATAGTGTGGGGTGTGCTGTTTCCCAATGAAGCATGGAAGCCGTTGCCAGATGACGTTGTCGAGATCGACGCGTTGGAAGCCTTCCATTGCAGTGCGGCGGAGGAGGCGAAGGAATGGTTGTACGGCGCTTGCAGGATGCGTGAACGAGCGAAGGATGACGACGGCGATGTGTTGGCCTCACATGCGCAACACCTGGCCAATCATTGGGCTGGGGATCACTCCCTGTGCGATAAGGAGTGCTCAAACCTGTGCAAGGTGGCCGGCGGTTCGGAGAGAGAGCCATTGTACGAGGCTGGGGGTCGGGTTCATGTCGCGATTTCGCGATGTTTGCAACAAGTACTGCACGAAACGATTGAACTTCGCTTCCAACACGAAGATGGCATACTACACACGTGCGAGGATGACGTTCAACAGCGAATGCCTCCACTCTGTGATCAACAAGTACTGCATGAAACGATTAAACTTCCCTAAGTCGTATGAGGCGCGAGTTTGTTGCACCGCGCTAGAATGGAACAAAAACAAACGAATCAGGCCATCGCACTCTGCGTACTGCAAACCTATGAACGTCACCCACCAACGACGCTCCGCAAGACGTCACGTTTACCCCGCCCGGGACACATGGTAGGGTTCGACATTGCAACTGAAGTTTTCGGGAGTCCTCGGGTCGGGGACTGGGCCCGTAACATGTTGCATCAATCGGACGTCGACGACCTGGTTGTTGAGCATATTGATGTTGAAGCTGATTTTGGACTTCCGGTTGCTGTTGAGAGTGTGGCCCGGGGTGACGAAGATGAAGGTGCTGAAATTTTGTTAGAGTCTGGAAGCGACGATGACTCGGATGATGAAAAGTCATCATCGGATTCCGAATGCGAAGGGGCCGCTCAGCGCCTCAACTTCGGTGGCGCCGTGCTATCGCAGGAGGTTTCTGTTGTGCAGGAGTGATAGCGCCATTTGGTTGGGGAATGATATTGTAGTCATGTGCAATTTGACGTGTCACTTCGAAGTGTGTTCGATGTTCGCTGTTGTTAGTCAGCGGAATTTTTTTTTTGAGTTGCATTTTCTTTAGTGCGATTTGAAAATGTTGAAATATCACGATGGTCATGCGAGAGTTGCTTTGCGTTTCGTTACATAATATATGCAATCCGTAGAATATCTTGAACTGCATGGCTGCATCGATAACCTGTACGTGTGTTGCTTCTCGTATATATATAAAACCCGGCCGAGGGTCATCATTTTCTGGAGGAGCGCGTGGATCCGGAATAAACCCGACATAACCCTCGTTAGGCTGGTTGGGCCGTCGTGTACACATAGCCTCCTCGAATTTCGGCGGTAGTCTCTGGCGCCGGTTGTAACCGCACATGTTCCCAAACTCTCTGCAGCCTGCGTATCTATTAGCTGTTGCTTCCAACCGATTGTCCCCCACAAGGGTCTGCAAAAACTCGTCAATGCGATCCTCCTCTCCCACGTACGCAACCGCGGTTTCGACCAACAACGCCGGGTGTGGCCATGCAGCCGGAATTTGGACCGCATTCATTGTCGGTGGAGGGGGCCCCGGCCGATGTGGCACGACTGCCACCGGTTGATGTTATGGAATGCGCCCCCCCCGCCCCTGCACTGCACCTCCACCGCCTCGCATTGGTCGTGTGCGTCGTGGTTGACGACCATATTCCATGCCGCCTTCTTCTTCGTCGTTCGGTATTTGAGGTATTGTCTGCTCCATGGCATTGTCGCCACAGCAGAGCCCTATCTGCAAAAAAAAGTGGCCGGAGTTAGCGCCGATCCTCGCGACAGGGAAAAAATGATCCTGAAAAATCCTCGTCATTGCAAATTGAAAATGGCGCCGATACAACAACCTTCCAGACACCGTCTTCGGCGACTGTTGCATAGTGTGTTTCAAGGAGACGATGGACAAGGGGATAAACAATGTCATACATTTGGTCATCGAGGACCGGCCGCAGCACACGGCGATTGAAGTGTGTCGATGCATTTGACATCTGTACTCGAATGTGTTCCACAATGTGATTGCGAATGTACATCTATGTTGTTAGTCTCAACACTTGCCTCTCTTCAACGCTAACAACGAAATGTTGTCGTTGTAGCTTGTCCCTGTTTCTGTAATCCGCCACCTCGTCAACTGCCTGTGTCACAGGTGCCAGAGACTCATAATAATAAACGGTTTGGCTGTCGCGGAGTTTCGTGGAATGAAAACAGCGGAAAACAAACGGAGAGCACATTGTTATCTGACGTTGAGGCCTGCGTCATGATTTCACTGCATTTCACGAACAAGAACAACGTAAAAAGAAAACAAAAAATCTGCACAGCGCATAGGACATCACACGAAAACGAAGACGGTAACCACAAGCAACGAAAATTACATTGTAGTCATACTCACTGAATTTAGCGATGACAAAGGACACAGGACAACATACAAATATGTCGTAACCCCACATTGGCTCGAGGTTTTGAAATCAAATGCCGAAGCTATTTTCGGTCTTTTCGCTTTGAGTTCACGCCATATTTGAGGCGAGGGTGGCCGTCCGCACAACTTTTCATATGGCAGTGACCAACACCATGGTCGTCGTCAGATCGACCAAACTTTCGTTCATCGTCGTGGCCAGCACCGCGCTTTGACACTAAGGCATACGACCCCAAATTGTCTTCGGATCCACTCGACGAGCTGGGTGTTTGCGTTGTGCTTTCCGACGGGGACGGTGCAGTCTGTGGCAATGAAAACCCAAGGTTGACTTCCGCTCCAAAGTTGTTGTTCGCCAACATAGAATTTGAGTTCGTCAATGTTTCCGGCAGAACGATAGGGAACGTTCCGTCGTCACGCTGCAAATGCTGCTCGCGGATTGCACAATTGACCTCCCGATTATCCAACTCCATTGTTCTTTTCCTCAACAATGATACAATCGTTTGCATCCGGCTGTAGGAATTAGATAGCACTGTGCGTGCGTCGCTCAGGTCCACTATCACCGCCTGGATGTCTTTCTGAGCACCGTCGAGGTCAATGACGTGTTCGACCTCTTGCGATCGTAAAATGTCAGGGCAATCAGCTAATGGAGGTGACAGACGGCGCATGCGGTTGCAAAGTGACGCCTTTTGTGGTCCATCGCGATGTGCCATGACGCGCCTTCGCACGATGGAACTTGAGCTCTGACAGCAAAGATGAAGACAGACATGCATGAACAACACAACCCGTATATAGCTATCGGCCTGGAAAAACACAAACATTTTCTGCTTCAGATTCGTCGCACTCAATCTTTGTGTTTTTGGGTTTTTTAACGTGTTTATGGACGTAATTAAGGCCAGATACATGTAAATATATATATTTATTCATACAAATATATATTCATACAAATATATATTCATACAAATATATATTCATATTTTTATGTATTTATATGTTTATGTATATGCATATATAAACCATTCGCACGTATGGAGACCCCTGTTCCGACCTCCCTGCGTTCGGGCGTTTGGGGTCGCGTTTGGAGGCGGGTAGGAAAGCAATTGTCGTTTTTTGTAGGTATTCCCATTATGCTGTGTTTTTGCCGATATATATATATACATATCGTCACAAACAGAACTGCCCGGTAAACCGTAGGCAGAGAGAGAGAAGAGGACAACAAACGAGGGGCTGTGACTAACTGTTTCGTTGGAGTTTCACCATATATATATATATCGTATATATATATATATATATATATATATATATATATTTATATGTATATATCCTGATGAGTCGGTGAAACTCGGACGAAACAGCTTGTCACAGCCCCTCGCTTCTTGTCCTTTTCTCCCTCTCTGCCCACAGGTTCCCGTACAGATATTATCTGTACATTTCGTATATATATATATATATATATATACGTACGGAGCCTTTCCGTGCGAAATGTACAGATAATATCTGTACGGGAACCTGTACGCCCCGGTACGACCCGTACGAAAAAAAAAAAAAAAAAAAAAGTCATCAAAAAAACCGAAAACAATATATGTGATGTAACATCCCAAAACAAGCAACATTTGGCTGAGCACCATCTACAGATTCTTATTAGAATTGGAGAAATAAAATAAAAACAATAAAAAAAAATAAAAAAACTCGTACTGGCCTGGAGTACGAGTAGCGTATAAGAAATGAGTACTTGTACTCGTACGAGGGTGAGTACGAGTCGCAACGTAATATATGTATATACATATATATATACATATATATACATATGTATATGGGGCAGGTCACCACAGTAGGTCGCGGTCACCTGCCCGAAAAAAAAAAAAAAAAAAAAAAAAAAAAAAAAAAAAAGTATATGTGTGTTACGCTGTACGGAATTAAAAAAAAAAAATTAGAAACATACTGCATTTTTTGTGGTTCTACATAGAGAGAGAAAAAATATGAAAAAAATGCCAAAAATAAATAACCACCACAAAAAATTACAAACAAAGGAAACGAATAATACAAAACCAATTTTGAGCACCGCCATCTTCGGCGGTTTCATATCGAATATTCGGCTTCGCAGATGGACTTTGAAATTGAGAAGCGGTTGACTGTCGCAACGGACAACTACGACAAAAGACAAAAAAAAAATATATTGAGAAAGACAAGAATTTTTTTGCGTGCCCATATGCTTTGTTGGGATAGTCCTAAGCCCTTCCGGTTGGGGGCCGTACGGTGACCACGCAGTTCGTACGTTCGGCCAGGCATATATATATATATATATATATATATATATATATATATATATATATATATATATATATACAAGGTTACCGGCGTTCGGGACAGGCCGAACGCCCGAACCCGAACGCCCGAACGTATGGGACCCCTACGGGAGGCGTTTGGCCGTTCGGGCCAAACGCGGACAAAAAAAAACAAAAAAAAAAACAAAGTTTTCACAAAATTTTGAAAACAAACTATGTTATGGAGACAAATAAACTAAAAAACATTTGCCTAGGCACTAAATCCAACTTGGTTACCAGATTTGAATTAAAAATCCAATACCGAAAATAAACACTATGATAAAAATAAGAAAAAAGAAAAAGAAAATTAAAATGAGTGAGTGTGCCAGCACTTTTTCGACACCGTCATCTTTGCCGATTTGTATTTGACAAATGACCTGAAAATTTACAGATATGTAGTTTGCATAATCAATAACTCATCAAAAAAAATTCAAAAAATAATAAAATTGTTTAGGCTCCGAAATAAAGTGAAAACAAAAAGTTGAAAGTGAAAAAAAACAAAATAGTGAGTGGGCGAGCACGTTTTGATAGCCCCATCTTTGACGATTTTTAATGTTTTTTTGGCTTAGCAGAATGGCTTCAAAATGTATAGGCGTGTAGGTTACATCATACGAAACTCACAAAAAACAATTCAGAAACAAAAACTTATTTTTAGGCCCCGAAACAGTTTTTGGCGGGGGCCGAACCTGGAGGTGTTCGGCCCCCGAACGGGACCCCGAACGCCCGAACGTTCGGGGGCCAGTCCGGGGGCCCCCAAACGTTCGGTCAGGTAACCCTGTATATATATATATCGT